TGACAATAAGAGGGAAATGCTCGGTGACATCGAATTTGAGGTATATAGGCAAATGATACAATACTGATTGAACAGGCCCTTCAGGACTTTTAGATAAGTTTTTTATTCGGCTTGGCCTTTAAGTAAGAAAGAGACAACTTATCAATGCCTTAAAAGTTATCATTTAAAAGGAAGAGTCAAAGGTTCATGTTAACAACTCCTTCCGAATAATTAACGAATCGACAGTGGTTTAGCGTAGTCTGTACTTTTATCGACAACGATATTTCGTCATCATGGTGGTCAAAATGTTGCGGACTTACGAGGCGCAGCCAGGTGAGTCAGCAACTTAACGCTAGACCACTGCCGATTTGTTTTTTTACCACCACACCGACGTCAAATAAATCGATTCTTTCAGTACGTGACAGGCTGCGTGACAGGTTGACGCAAGCAGCGTTGTCTCTTATCTTATCGACAACGGCAAATTGGTGAATCAGATTGCGACATAACTGCCAGTTGTGGTAACATTTTGTTTTCATCTTTCCACTCATAATTTAGGTTGATTCCAGTTTGTGCTGGCAAGAGGTCAGCGGTCACACCAAAATTCATGACAGTCATGCGCATATTTTGAGCAAAGTGGCCGCGTTGGGAATGGCAAGTTTTTAAACAACAGAACAACGGAACTGGTTGTCTGGTTGAGAATAGAAAAGGATGATATGCTTTATCAAGAATGTATAGTTGTGGAATACAGTGACCCGTATAGCAACGTCCATGGCCATCGAGCCGTAGTTAGCGTTAGCCATTAGCTCAGTGCTTTGAGGAAGCGAAGACCATTTGACGATTTTAGACGAAGATAAAGACCAACAAAAGAGTTGAAATGAACTGTATAGAAAACTCAGTTGTGTTAGATCTTGGCCTTCGATCTAATATGATTTTCCACCAACGCTAGTTATTACGACAAAATAGAAGAATGGATATCATTTAAAAAAAATAAAAGTTAGCTTGCGAATTCTAACGTTAAAGCAAACCTCGCCTTGAATCTTGAAATTTTGTGGTTGGATGCCTCATCTTCATAATCACAATCATAAACTTTATTTCATCTCGAATTTTAGAGTAGCTTGTTGGAGCTAATATCTTCGAGAAAACATAAGATGGAGATTATCTATATATATATTCTTACATATATCTGTACAAGATCTAATATACTAACTATACTAAAATATACTAAAGTACACAGTATTTAGAAATATGATTATGTAACATATCAGTAGAAATTAACAGAAAAGTGAAGATAAGCGGAGCGACTATACAAAGATACGGCCTTGGATTATCTTTCTAAAGTCTTTAAATGCACTCATGCGGATATAGTCAGGCAGTGTATTTCATAGCTTAGCTGAGAAGTATGAAAAGGAATTAAGGCCATAACTAGTTGTTCTAGGTTTTCTAAGTGACAGTATGTAATTACCGCGAAGATTATAAGAAGAGGACCGAAGTGAAAACATACCTCTCATCTAAGCTGGAAAGTAAGCGAAAAACAGGCTCTTGTACAATAAAATAAGGAAATTCTGGATACGCCTATTACATAAGGAACTAGTGTTGACCTTAGTAAGAAGGCTATCATATGGCGACAAGTAATCCCTAAGTACAAATCTAAGTATTCTCTTATTCAGCGCCTCTAGTTTATCCGTATTCCGCGCCCCGCAAAAGTGCCAAACTGAGGAACAATAATTAAAATGCGGTAAAATGTAAGCTTTGTAAAGCGTAAGTAAGGTGTCCCTCGATATCAGTTTTCGAAATCGTAACATAACATTAAATTGATTATTGATCTTTAAGTATATGTTGGATATGTGACTAGAGAAATCGAGCTTATCATCTATTTCCATTCCGAATATCTCTAATGTGTCCTTTACTGGGAAGGAAAAACTATAGTCCGTTTCGCCAAGAACGAGACCCTGGTGCTTGCTCTCGTTGACTAACATCCACTTGCAGTAAATGGTTTGAACCCGGGGGTAACATGTGAAGGTGTAGTCTGATCGTCCGGGTGAGTGTAGTCCTGAGAAGGACTGTTGTCGGTGGCAGTGACTGACGTTTCGACAACCTGTGCGGAAGTCATCATCAGAGTCAAGTGAGTGATTGTTGTCAGTAGAATGTTCTTATTCCAGTTCGTGTGAAATGATCGGTTGGTTTTGCCGTGATGTTATTGGCTGTAAGACTCAAGTGACGTAAGTCGTTCGTGATTGGTCTGTTTCGGTCTGTCGGTAAAGCTAGGTTGTTCTTTTTCGGTCGTTTGTGATGTTTATGTCGTGAATGAGTCGTTTGTATGGGGCGGGTAGTTGTTGACATCTGTTTAGGGGAGTCTGTTCTAAGTTAGTAAACCAGCTTTCCAGAGTCAGTCGTTGAAAATAGTCAGTGCTGTAGGTTAGGCATTGCGCAGAGTCCCAGTCAATGTTGTGGTTGGTAAGTCGATGGTGTTCAGCAATGTGATTGCTGACATCACCTTTCCTCGTCGCCCGTCTGTGTTCAGTCAGTCTTGTTGTGAGGTTTCTGCCAGTCTCACCGATGTAGGAGGCTTGGCAGTCGGAACAATTGATCTTATAAATCGTTCCCTGTCTGTTCCTCGGTTCGTCTTTGTCTTTAACGTTGGTTAGTAACTGACGTAGTGTGGTGATGGGTTTGTGGGCGACGCGGATATTCAAAAAAATGTTTTGGAATTCGTCGCAAATAAAAACCCGGAGAGCTTGGAATGGGAAATACCCGGGCTATAATTTTCTTCAACTTACGACGATAATTACATATATATGTATATTAGGGAGTCAAAAGTAATCCTGTATTGCATTAGTACTCCTTTTCCACACATTCCGATTGTTCAACAAAACCAAGCCACTTCCTCAATCAATCAAATGGAAAATTAAACGAATCGGTCGCAAGCATTTTCCCGCACTTTACGGGGCCATCCACGTTTCTTTACTTCGCCTTCTCATTGACGTCTCTTTATGGTAGAACTCGAATAGCGGGCAGCTATTTCTTTCTTTTTCTTCGTCTTTCTGTATACGTTTTTTTCAATCCCTGTACTATTTTAATCGTTTTGAATGGCCTAAAATTTTCAGGAACTGATGGAAACTGGCGATTCAGGGTTGTGTACTATGAAAAGGGTTTTTACCAACAAAATCATTGCGGTTCTCAAGTCTGATAACAACGAGGGAAAGGAAAACTTGGGAAAAAGTATGGATACGATTGTTCAAAATGCTACGGAGGTATGTTTTAGTATGCGATGGTTTTTAAGGGTACTAGTTATAGCTTCCTTAATAAAAGATTGCCCTTAGAATGTTTGATCAAACTTACAATAGAAAAAGAAATCTATTTACGTGCGGGCTCTGTAACCTGATAAAGCATCCGCTTGGAAACTAAACTGAACTATCAGACAATGCGTTCTATGTTCCTTTTGCTTTAATTCCCCTTTGGAGTGATTTCCTTCAGCGCTAGGTAATGTCCTTTTTGTACCTTGCCAGGGCATGGAAAGACAATTTAAGGATTGCGAAGTGTTTTTTGCATTTGGCGCACAAAATTAAATGGGCCAGTTTTGATATGATTGATATGATTACCCTTAACTTCAGTTCTCTAAAAGAACGTGGACATCTTTTGCCATATCTCTTATCACCTTGATCAACTCGTAAACTTGTAGGTCTACAGAGGATACGTCGATGACGTCAGAAATACAGATAACGCTTGGTTGGAAACAACGACAATGCTTTTCCGTGACAATAAGAGGGAAATGCTGGGTGACATCGAATTTGAGGTATATAGGCAAATGATACAATACTGATTGAACAGGCCCTTCAGGATTTTTGCATAAGTTTTTTTATTCCGCTTGGCCTTTAAGTAAGAAAGAGACAACTTATCAATGCCTTAAAAGTTATCATTTAAAAGGAAGAGTCAAAGGTTCATGTTAACAACTCCTTCCGAATAATTAACGAATCGACAGTGGTTTAGCGTAGTCTGTACTTTTATCGACAACGATATTCGTCATCATGGTGGTCAAAATGTTGCGGACTCACGAGGCGCAGCCAGGTGAGTCTGCAACTTAACGCTAGACCACTGCCGATTTGTTTTTTTACCACCACACCGACGTCAAGTAAATCGATTCTTTCAGTACGTGACAGGTTGACGTAAGCAGCGTTGTCTCTTATCTTATCGACAAATTGGTGAATCAGATTGCGACATAACTGCCAGTTGTGGTAACATTTTGTTTTCATCTTTCCACTCATAATTTAGGTTGATTCCAGTTTGTGCTGGCAAGAGGTCAGCGGTCACACCAAAATTCATGACAGTCATGCGCATATTTTGAGCAAAGTGGCCGCGTTGGGAATGGCAAGTTTTTAAACAACAGAACAACGGAACTGGTTGTCTGGTTGAGAATAGAAAAGGATGATATGCTTTATCAAGAATGTATAGTTGTGGAATACAGGGACCCGTGTAGCAACGTCCATGGCCGTCGAGCCGTAGCTAGTGTTAGCCATTAGCTCAGTGCTTTGAGGAAGCGGAGACCATTTGATGATTTTAGACGAAGATAAAGACCAACAAAAGAGTTGAAATGAACTGTATAGAAAACTCAGTTATGTTAGATCTTGGTCTTCGATCTAATATGATTTTCCACCAACGCTAGTTATCACGAAAAAATAGAAGAATGGATATAATTTAAAAAAAATAGAAGTTAGCTTGCGAATTCTAACGTTAAAGCAAACCTCGCCTTGAATCTTGAA